TTATTAAAACCTGTCGTGAAATTCTTGTTTCCTCCCCTCCCTTTCCCCTTCCCACAATCCCCTCCCCTTTAAAAATAATGGAAAATCTTTTTCTTTTGTTATTTACTAAAACGAGATAAAAAAAATTTCATCAAATAATATAAAAACCACCTCGAAAAAAATAATAATAATTATCCAAAAAAAAAAAAAAATTCCACGCATCGTAAATACGTATATACGTGGGTGTGTGTGTGTGTGTGGGGCGGGGGCGGGTGCACGTTCACAAGTTACAAGCAATAAATTTTATTCGAGTGAAAAATGTCGTAACGTAATAATAAATCACCATTTTATATATAAAATTTAAGTTGAAACAACAAGGAAGTGTTGGACATAAAAAAAAAAAAAAAACAAAACGAAAAAAATTTTTTTATTTTTTTGTTTAACGTCAATTATAAAGAAAATTATTTAAATTTTAAATTATTATTATTATTATTTATAAATTGTCACGTGATTCATAATTCGATCGTATGAGTTATTATAATTATCATTAAAAAAGAGAAAAAAAGAAAAAATATAAAAAGTTATGAAAAAGAATGAAAAGCGACGGAGGACGAAATCGAGAAACCGGAAATAAATTCATTTTTTAAAAAAATTACGTTCGCGAACGCAAAAAAAAAAAAACGAATGACGCAATATTTCCGGTAGTTTTTTTTTTTTTTTGCATTTCCTGCAAATTTTGTTGCAATTTATTTTGGCGAAAAAAAAAAAATTGTTTTTTTTTCCATTCTTTTGCTATCGTAAATGTTAAATATTTCTTTTTTTTTATGACCATTAAAAATTTAAAAAAAATATATATTGTTATATTCGGTTCGTTCTTTATTTTTGTAAGTAATGAACAAGCACTTAAAACTATCACTAACAAAACTAATATTAATAAACAAGAACTTATTACAGCTAGACTAAAAATCAAAATGAACCAACGCCAAGCTGTGTAGCTTGCCTATATTACTTTGGTCTTTCGTCAGTCAACTGTTTCGAATGTTCGAGCAAACACTTGCAAATAAAATAAAAGAAGGAGTCTTTAGAAGCTTCGCTTCTAAAGAAGAACAATTTGAGTTCGTCGCCAGTCTTTTGTTTATAAAAAGTTAAAAATGTGAATATTGAGTACGGGATCATAACACCTCCCCCCTTAAGACGGAAAACAATTATTTGAAAAA